TGTATAAAATGTCACAGAAATTCAGCGGCCGACATACACATTTTTGCTGGCACGTCTTTAATAGATTTTAATCTACACTCGAAGAATTTAAAGCATGGAATGGTATACACATCTGTCTATTGTTAAAAACTGTTCTTTCACCATAAGATGTTTTAGGATGCTGTACCGTTTTCTTATTGACGCATACATATACTAGTATCTCTGCTTTAATCCCTTAGCATGTAAAATAGATATATTCTGAAAAATATCTTATTAAATCCAACTATTTTCGTTTCCAATATATAAATAACACATATCTGAGAGGGTGATAGTGCAGATTGTTACCACGAGAAAACATTGTCAACTGAGGCGAAGCCAAGGTTGACAATGTCTTTTCGAAGGGTAACAATCTGCTCTATCACACTCTAAGATATGTGTTAATTAATTTATCATACTGAATGTTCTGTTATTAATATCTATTAAATTTCAAATTCAAAGTAATAAACTATGTCGTCTCGTACATAACAATCAGCCGTATTTATGAAAGCGCACACTTGAGCAAGCGTCTCCGTGAAGGGTAATAGAGTATTTGCAATGGGATAGAGTAAATTGTCTCCCTTGTATTGACCAATAAAAATCTGGCATTTTGATATGAAGTATAATAAAAAACATTATCTTATCCTAATTCTATCATGTTCACCGGACTGTCTTGTGCATAATTTTTTTACATAGACTTTTTTTTTAATTTGATATACCGACCATTGGTAAATAATCAGGATTCCTATGAAATATTGATAGAAAATTTGAAATGTCAGAATGTACATTCAAAGATAACCAAATTATACGATAAGAATTATGACCTGTGAAGTCCAGAGTAAAACATTGCCAATCGAGTTAAAATCCGAAAACAATAATCCAAGCATAATTGATTTAGGGTCCGTGTAACACTTATCAATTCAAAATTTAAAAAAAAAGTTTTCAAATTTTAGTTTTTTGGATTTTTGATCAAAGTTTTAAAATATAAAAATTTTGAAAATTTCACCAAATAATTAAAATTTTAAAATTATAAACTTCGTTTTAAAATTTAATAATTTAGATGTTTACGCAAACTTTAATAATACTAAACTGAACGTACAGTTTTGATCATATCGCTTTTTGAAAGTTTGAATGTTTTTATTTTTGATTAAAATATAGGAAAGGGAAAAGGACTAAAGAGTGGATACCTGTTACAAGTGCAACACGGAATAAGAACGGAACGAAACGAAATGAAATTTACAAAACCAAATCAAAACGAAAACAATATTTTCTGAAAAACTAAATATAATATAAAACAAGAGTCTAACTTGTTTGATCTACAGGATGAAAATGAGAAATATGATTCTTTAAGTCGAAAAATTAAATAGTTAGACCTGATTTTGACACACTTTGATTCTCTATAAATAAATGAACAGCAAGCAGACATTATTTGTCAACTTTGTGATTACTGCTCTCAATGTGGTTATTAATAGTATATGTCTGTATATTTGACTTTGATACCTCCACGAGGGGCTTCAGTAATGGTACATTTTTCAGGTGCGGATCCAGGAATTTGAAAAGGTGGGGGCCTAGTTAGCCAACGTTTGGACTGATGCTTGTAAAAAGTATATGCATTTATCAAATATGTAGCTCAATAAGGGGTTAGTAGGGCCCCCGTCCCCTAAAACCACCTCTGTTTTAAATAGCGAGGGTTGAAATCTCATAAACATGTTTAACCCCGCCGCATTTTTGCGCCTGTCCCAAGTCAGGAGCCTCTAGCCTTTGTTAGTCTTGTATTATTTTTAATTTTAGTTTCTTGTGTACAATTTGGAGTTTAGTATGGCGTTCATTATCACTGAACTAGTATATATATTTGTTTAGGGGCCAGCTGAAGGACGCCTCCGGGTGCGGGAATTTCTCGCTGCATTGAAGACCTGTTGGTGACCTTCTGCTGTTGTCTGTCCTGTGGTCGGGTTGTTGTCTCTTTGACACATTCCCCATTTCCATTCTCAATTTTATTAAAAGGATACGGGATATTTATTTTTTTTCATTAAGGGGTAGTTCCGTATTTGTGATTTGTGCATTTGTAACTAATCGTACGACAATCATTTTTTAGCAAAGTTCGAGTATGCAGCTACGTCCAGATAGAATGGGGCGTGTAGAGAGAGTGCTACGCTCTCTGCACGTTAAGAACCCCTGCAACAACTCGTTGGTTGCCTGTTGCAATGCAAAATTTCTGTCCCTATCCAATATACCCTCATTTTCCAGTGGCGATCTTAAGTTTGCCGACCTTCACCCAAAAGGATTCTATTACAGGATTAAATCTTTGATTATTGGTTGCTTAAAGTCCAGTGGCAAATATTTCATGCACGTTCAGGACGATATCAAATTAAAAATCTATACTACTACAGGAAGAGACCGATTTCATTGAGTCGCAAATCCTCTGAAACCATACAAGGTTGGAAATATGTGTGATATGACGTATAAATATGGTGTTTTGTACTTCCTAAATTTATCTTTGAAACAATACTTTTTCCACAGAAAACGCCTATTTTTGAGAAAATATCCAAATTTGGAGACCGTTATCGATCCGAGTCTTATACGCTTTCGCGCATGCTAAGTCGACATACTTAACAAGTTCCGGGTCGAATCCGATACCGATACCAAAAGTATATGTCACCTGTTACCTATTACCTAATCTGTACGTTCCGCATTTGTCAGGCGCACGACCGAACGGTGTATTTTGGATTTGCTATATATACACGGGTCATAATCACACCTAAACTTCGTTATTATACAGGGTTAAAAAACACTGATAAACTCAATCATTGTCACATTGTTTCCGGTTGTAGTATTTTAATCAGTTTGACTTTATAAGAATATGACAATACGAATACTAAAAATCCATACTTAAAATAAGTCGTAGGTACAGTTTCCAATTTGAAAGCCGGCATGACATAAAAACTGCGAATCAAAGAATTCAACTTTAGATATAACTAATATAGGACAATGATGTTGACTACAAATTGCACCAGTCCAGGCCCTTTTGTTTTTCAAATAGTTAATATAACAAATAATTAATAAGTTCCAGGTCGACGAGTGTCCAGGTCGACGAGTTCAAACAGAAAGATTGTGAAAGCAGAGAAAAACAGTGCCTCTTATAATCACATGACTCTATCATATGACAATGCCAATACTAAAAGTCAAGACTAAAAATAAGGCTTATGCATAATTAGATACTTTAATTCAGTCACGACCCGCGGGTGTGTTCTAGTAAATACAATAGGAAGGTCCTGTAGTAGAATCCGTTCAGGATGAAGGTCGGCAAACTTTAGATCGTCACTGGAAAATGATGGTATATTGGATAGGGACAGAAATTATGCCTTGCAACAGGTAACCAATGAGTTGTTGCGGGAGTTCTTAACGTGCAGAGAGCGTGACACTCTCTCTACACGCCCCATTCTGACTGGACATAATTAGCTGCATACTCGTACTTTGCTCGAAGTTGATTGTCGTACGATAAGTTACAAATGCGCAAATGACAAATACGGAACTATCCCTTAATAAAAAAAAAATCAAATATCCCGTATCCTTTTAATCGCTATTTAAAAACAGAAATGGATTTAGGGGGCAGGGGCCCCGCCAACCCCTATTGGTGCTACATATTTGATAAATGCATATACTTTTTACAAGCATCAGTCCAAACGTTGGCTAACTAGACCTCCACCTTTTCAAATTCCTGGATCCGCATCTGAAAAATGTACCATTATTGAAGCCCCTCGTGGAGGTATCCAAGTCAAATATACAGACATATACTATTAATAACCACATTGAGAGCAGTAATCACAAATTTGACAAAAATTTCTGCTTGCTGTTCATTTATTTAGAGAATCAAAGTGTGTCAAAATCAGGTCTAACTAATCAATTTTTCGACTTAAAGAATCATATTTCTCATTTTCATCCTGTAGATCAAACAAGCTTGCTTCTTGTTTTATATTATATTTAGTTTTTCAGAAAATATTGTTTTCGTTTTGATTTGGTTTTGTAAATTTCATTTCGTTTCGTTCCGTTCTTATTCCGTGTTGCACTTGTAACAGGCATCTGCTTATTAGTCCTTTCCCCTTTCCTATATTTTAATAAAAAATCAAAACATTTAAACTTTCAAAAAGCGAAATGATCAAAACTGTACGTTCAGTTAAGTATTATTAAAGTTTGCTTAAATATCTAAACTTTTAAATTTTAAAACGAAGTTTATAATTTTAAAATTTTAATTATTAATGAAATTTTTCAAAATTTCAAAAAAAATTAAAATTTGGAATTTTAATATTTTTAAACATTGATCTAAATCCAAAAAACTAAAATTTGAAAACTTTTTAAAATTTTGAAATGATTAGTGTTACACGGACCATTTAGTCATGTATTATTCTGAAAATTGAATTACACATCGATAAAGAGTATGTACATTTTTGTACAATAGGAACTACCATTTGCACTTTATACAGACTACTTGTAACCTTAGGTATTCACAATAACAAGCATGCGACTTCATAAAAGGAAAAGATTACTCGAATTCGTTTTACTCTTGTGTTGTGCTAACATCCTCTTATGGATAAATAAAGGCGTTTTTCATATTAAGTCTTTAGTTTTAGTAACAAATGATGACGAGGTTTGAAGCGACGAGATGTGCTGTGTTTTTAGCTTTGAAAAATGCATGTTTGCAATTATAACAGTTTTCAATGTTAACATAATTGCAATAACCTGTCGCTTTTTTAAAGATATTAGATTCATTGTACCTTTTGCAGCTTAAAAAACCGAAAGAAAACGCTAAATATTGAAGAGAAGTGAAAGGATTTTTGTCTTAAATGAACACAGCGTAGTTTTTTTCAGTATTATTTTACCGATAGCTTTTTTTAACAATTTGTTGCCCTTTATAAAAACTATCAAATTTCATATCATTAACACGCAAATATGACATTAATGTTTGACATAACGTTCACAAAAAAAAAAATTCACACAAATTAAGGTGTTTTGTTCTGACTAAAAGTGACTTGAAATGTTGGCGTCTATAATACTTGTCTTTGTTGTTGTTAATAGATATGTATCTGCTGAAAGTTCATGTCAAACAACAGACGGTAAGCACACTACGATGGGTTTTTTTTCTAGAAAGCGTCTTTATCAAACAGTAATTTAGATTTTTACAGTAATCATAGCAACAAATTGAAAGCGATTGTCATTAGTCAGGTCAGGTTTTAAATTTGCTTTTTTTTCATCCAAAAAGAAGTCCCTTGCATTAGGTTCCAATGCCTAAATGCGTTAAAGAGCTTAAATTGTTATCAGAATTTCAAATGCATTCATATATATTTTTGATAATGACTAGACTATTTCACGATTTTGTAGGCCGATATGAAGTGAGCGTAATTAGTAGCAGTATACACAGTGAGACAATCCCTCAAGTTATTGCATTTCATGCTTACATTTCAAAACACGTGATTCCTGGAGCTGGTCGTAGACTTGTGTTTGATGTGACAAAGACGAACCAAGGAAGCGGCTACAACAGTCATACTGGAGTATTTACATGTCCGAAGTCAGGGATGTACGTATTTGTTTGGGTCATTCGAATTTATTCAGGCGAACATTCGACTGAACTGATGATAAATAATTCCGTTTACGGGTCCACATTCTTACGTGCCAAAAGCGGAGATGATGGATCAGTCAGTGGTACAGTTGTTGCATATGTGTCTAAAGGTGATACAGTTTATATTCGGAACAATTCAGTACTTGCCGGAGATGGTCAAATTGTGAGTAACGTAAATGGTAAGCCAACATTTTCGGGATGGCTGCTACAGTAGATAACTTCAACAGAAATAAATGTAGTTTGAAATAGGCTTTTTTATCATTAGTTTTTTTACATCTGACTGCTCAATATCTGGTACCTATCGGTTCCACATTTTTAAAGAGAACACGAATTAAAATTTGCAAGTAGAAATTATATAATCCTAATGTGTTATGCCAGAAAACTTATTATTTTCTGACATTTTATAAAAGATCATAAAAAAGACTTCTGATTCTAGTTTAAGAATATGCACGTACTTGTACCTAATGTCATTTTAAGGTGTGTTGATGTTACTCAAGCGTTAATTCTGTCATTTGATATGCTTTTAAAAATATATTAACACCATGTATTCAATAGAAAGCTCTCTAGTTTGCAGTACATTTTTTTAGAGTCTAAAATTTAATAAATATAAATGCACATACTGGACAATACGAACATGAATACTTCAATATTCATCAAATCCAATCAAAGGGCCCATTTCCGAGGACATGCTTAGAATTGGTCAGAGCTTTATTCTTTTCGTTTCAAAATTTTTATGATTGATTTGGTTATAACGTATGCCTTAATGTTATAAGCAATCCGATAGAGACAAGCTGCATACCACGAATAAATCACAATTTAATTGTAAGAACTTGCCAAATACAGCTAGACAGATTCATTTGCATCTTTAATAATATTCTTTAATAATGGTTTTACCAGTATTCTGGTGGAAATCACCGACCAAAGCTTATTCCATGTGATTCATACTCTCGGGTCAAGTAGACCTTAGATTGATTTAGCTATTCTTTCTATGTCTTTTTGTTGGTGTTATACCGCTTCACGCTCTCAATGCGTATACATCCTTTGCTTTCAAATATTTGGCTTTGAGCATTCCTGATTCAAAAGGTTATTGTTGTCCAGTTCTTTATGAACATATAATAAGAATTTTCCTCCTGAGTCTTTACTTATAGTATGACTTATTATACGACATTGGATATGATCATTATCGAAGGCCGTACAGTGCCTAGATGTTTAAATCCTCCTCCTTGGTCTCTTGTTGATAGGTGTCGAGTCGAGGATTATGCCAGGCAACATTCTTAATGCTAAAAAGCCATAGTGGATAAGAATGGGTTAAGGCTGTGAGGTCGTTGATACAATTGGAATAAAATAACTGAATGGGTCTTTGAACAATCGTGATATGTCTTTTTCCAAAGACCCTAATGTTGTAAGCCCCTGTCCAACCTCCATGGAAAAATGTTGTTGTCCCCGCAAGTCCCTATCAAGTGTTATTTTCATCATTATATACCGCTGCTGGTGAACTGTTAGTCACCGTGGGTATCATCGTCTCAGTAGTCATTGATTCGGTACTGACATGATCTTTAATAATCAAAATGAACATATCATATAAATCATGTCAGTACCGAAGCATACAACCGATCTATGAATGTTTAAGATTTACTCTTTTCTAAGTGTCGGTATGGTTTCCACGTGAATTGTCAAGCAATTAATTTAAGGAGATTTACAAACAAAAATAAAAATTGAGATTTTGTCCACGCCGCGGGGATCAATAACCTACTTTTCATGGATGCATTACGAGTGCTTAGCAGCATGTGGGTCTTCGGAAATGTAACACGATTGATCATATATACCTATTGAATCGGTTTATTTTTATTCTTATCAACGACCTCGCAACCTTAACCAACTTGTTTTATACGGTTTAACGCATTGTCGATCATTATTCTCAACTGAATCTGTAAACCATTAGATCATTGGATGTGCTTACCCTTCCATTTTACATGTAATTACCCCTGGTCTTATGTGGTTGTGTTGCTGAGTCTTTAGTAAAAAAGGCCCCAACATGAAAGATTTTAAATTATTCAATTGAGAAAACTAACGGCCTGATTTATAACAAAACAATTTACGAAAAACAAATATGACAGACATAAACGAACGACAACCACTGAATTACAGGCTCCTGACTTGGGACAGGCACATAAAGAATGTTGCGGGGGTTAAACGTGTGGGGTTGTGAGCGCTCAACCCTCCCCTAACCTGGGACAGTGGCGTTACTGCAAAACATAAGAACAAGCTATAAAATTAGTTGAAAGTGGCTTAACTCATCAGATCTATACAAAGCAGAAACACATCTATCAAAAACACAGACCGGACGTGGCAGGGTTTTTATACATCTTTGACAACAAAAAAGACACAAAGTGCAAGTATGAAAGTACTCGCAGTTACTGACAGCTGGTTCAAAGGTAATATCAGCTAATAAAAAAATCTTGTATCTAAGACTAAAATATCAATCAGTACACATCCAACCTCCAATGGGCTTAGTGTAAAGACGTCATTAACAGTCAGAGAAAAACATGACCTTGTACAATGCCAACATATAGGTATCGACATAAGGTTTGATTGTCAGTATTTTTTCGACTTATGAGTTTGAATGTCCCTTTGGTATCTTTCGCCTCTCTTTTAATTATGTTTAAGTTGTGTTTCCGGTTTACCACTTTGTCACACGGTATTTTATAGCCCTTTGACTAACACCTTTTGTAGAGAAGTGTTGTTGAGAATGTTAAGGTCATCAGTTATAACATGGCCAGTCGAATTATATATGAATGAGATTCTTGCACATTTGCAATCAGATGGTTTCGGCTTAAAGTCGTAAATATTGATGTACTGCAACACAATGTTTGTAATGAAAATTTTTATAAGATACTATAGTTTCATACGGATCTTTGATGATTTTTTGATGAGAGCAAAAGAAAGTTTTAGAAGAGATCATTTCTATGTTTCATCTTTTCAAATGCCAACTGATATGAAATGAATGTGATGGAAAATATCCAAGATGAAAGCTGCAAGTTTGTATTGATTAAATTTGACATTGGTGACAGGGATTTCCAAGCATAATTTGTATAAAGGTTTTTGAAAATGGTTGTGAATACAGTTTTTTGCGGATGTAATGCATTATCAACGGCTTTTGTATAAACGTTGCAAGGTCATTTATGGAATCATGAAGAACATGTGATGTCTACTGACACTAAGTATGGGTGCGTCTAGGCCAAGGGGTAGAGTTGAAATATCCACCACATTCTGAGCTGCAGGAGGGACTAGAATGTCCTATACCATCAATTTGAAACCATGATGTGTTGCAGTTCCCGGTTCACGATTACTATATTCTTCTTTCTGTCTACGGAAAGTTGTTGTAAGGTCAGGATTGTTAGTCGATGATGGGAACTCGCGTAGGATGGAATAATCAGACTGATTTAAATGTTGGAAAACTATGTTCGTCATTGTTTTTCGTTTTTCGTCATGACGTTGCCAGATTCTCTTTGACTTATGAGTGTTGAATGTTCCTTTGGTATCATCCGCCTTTTTTAATATTCAATTCATCGTAGCCCCTGGTGAAGTAATATTTTTAAGTTACAATATAACTTGTTGATGAATGGAGTATCTGTTATTAAAAGTTTTGAAGTTTTTTGTTTGGAAATAACTCGGTATTCTTGGGAGTTATTGAAGTGTAAATGTATCATAGACCAATTCAACTGATAATGAGACACGTGCTATAACAATAGCAAAACAATACACAAAATCACTAACTGAGCAACACCAACCCCATTAAAAACCGGGAGCAAACTAATGTGCTCCGAAAGGACTCAACTGGTTGCAAATAACAAATTTCTATATGAATGTACATGTTCGTCAACAGTATAATCATGATAATAGCATTTACACATGTTAATTTAGTACCATACCATACTTGCCCATTGAAACCATTAACCAGCTTGACCTGAGTTAACCTAACACAGTCATTGTAAATATACTGTTGTTTCAATCCAATACATCGTAATAATATTGAAAGAATTTCACCCAACAAAAACTCGTATGTACTCGGAAAAGAGCCAGAAGATGATACCAAGGGGAAAAAGAAATATTATAAGTCGAAAGAAACTAGCTAAATCATGGCAAAATACGAAAAAAAAGACAAATTACAGTCTTCAGTCTACAAAACATCAAACTTCCGACTTTGAGCTCTCCATGCCTGAATTTCTATTCAACTGTTCAAGTACCGTTAAAATAACTATATTACATTAATTAGATGAATTCAAATAATAGATAAGACTCATTTTCTCACAGGTAAAGATTTCTTTTACAGTATGATTTGATGTTGTGTCGCTAGCAAGTGAAAATGAATGTGACATTTTTGTGTAAACCGAAAGAAAACCTAATCCTCGCAATACTATGGGTTCAATGGAAATACTTCAAACAAGATCTGTGAAACAAAGATGTTATACTAAGTCCTCTTATGGTTAAGGAACAGTAAATGAGCTATGTTACAGATTTTAGTAAAATTTTGCATACATTTTGTACAGCTTTGGTTCGTTTAACTATAACTGAAAATCGAAAAAATAATGCATTTACCTCTTTTAATTTCGGAAATATAACTGATTGAATTCTTTTAAAGTTTGTGAACATTTGTACAGAAAGCACATAAAATCGGCGAAAAACGATCGTAAATTTGTCTTAATATCATTAAATCTCCAATTTCAAATACATAATTTTTTCTTCAAAAACTATATGATGTTGATACATATATTCCCGTTTTAGTGATATAAAATACTAATATGGTCACCGACTTCGTTTTTGTTGTATTAGCCAATATGTTACGTAGTCAGTAGTAAAAAAACGTCAACAATCGACGTTTTATGGCCTATAAGTTATAACGCGATGACGTTACGATTATTGCGACGTTCTGTGGTACATCCTAAAACGGAAATCTATGTACCAACACATTACATTATTTTTTTATTTTCAGTTAGAGTTCGACAACCCGAAGTTAACAAAATCTGTGACAAAGCCCATTCACTGTAACTTGATCTTAAATTAAAACGAGACACACCACTACCTATAGCCGACAACATGCACACTAAATGATCATCCACATTAAAGCTACTTGATCTAAGGAGCATCAATCATTTAGAACCATATTGACCACCAGGACAGATGTTTTATGATTAATTTGTTTACTTATATATATTTTATGAGATATGATCTCGTCTTCATACTCTATAAGTATTCTTATTGCAGTAGAGCATGTAATTATACATTTTTTGTTTTTAATTCGGATTTATGGAGGTGAAAATACTTTTGAGAATTGGTCTTGATAGAATTTTGTAAGATGAATCATGTGAACTCCACCATAAAACTATTCGGAGATATGAATAGTTTTATTAATAATATCACACATGTACTGATTGAATGTAATCATATTGTTCGTTACCAAACAAACTGTCCTCGGAATCGGATTGTTCACTGCAAGTCATGTGAGATTTTCTATGTTCATCAAAATGTGAGAAAGGTCCATCAAATGAAGATTTCCTTGATTTGCCACTGTAATTTGAACACTGACTTCGGCGTATTTTAGTATCAGGCTTGATTAATTTTGCCTGATCATTTCGAGGTAATGGACCATTATGCCAAACAGTATCAGCTATTTCACAATAACCACCTCGTTCACTGTCTTTTAGTTCAGAATAAACATTTTCCACTGTATCATGAAGTTTAGGTTTATCCATACTATATTCATTCATATTTGACCTATATGGTATTGTGTCGTCTACTTCTGCATAAGCAGACGACTCAAAACTCTGTTCATAACAACTTTCATCAATCTCGTCGGCAACAATACCGTATCCGTCCATTAAAGAAGGAGAATTTGATAGTTGTTGATGTTGTGGCTGAACTGGTGGAAGCGGACGGTTGAAGGGTGACGGGAATGTTGACGGTATGGAAGAATGGTCGATAATTGGTCCATTTGCTTTAAGGTGTCTTTGTCTTCTGAAAAGTATAACATTTTATCTTCAGTTGGGACATATTAGTATTGTATTTAAAGATCTGTTGATGACCGCAAATTGAGTTTACTGAGTGATGCGTTAGCGGAGCCAGTAAACGGATATTATCGACCCTAAATTCAAAAACTGATCGATAGAAATCATTATAAGGTATGCCGGTTATATGTATAGGAAAGAAAGTGTACAAAACAATACCCTGGATATATATATATATAAGTCTGAAAATTAAACCCAACAGTATATATAAAACGTCTAGATATTAGTCATCGATCTTTCTTACGAGGGCGCTGGTTCGTTATGAGAATTTGGGTTGTATTACTACGCAGTCTCTATTATAATTCCTTTAAATTCGTCAACTCTGAAATTCTAGAATTATACCAGTTTAAATCGCACAGTGCTATTCACTTAGGATGTATAAATACTAGTACGCAGCCACCATATAATTACTTAACCTTCGTCAAAATTTGAAATTTTAGTATTATACCAGTGCAAATTGGTCAGCGCTATTCATTGGAAATGTATTTCTACGCAGTCTCTGTTGTAATAATTTCACTTTCGTCACTAGTGAAATTTTAGAATTGTACCAGTTCATATCGTACATTACTATTCCTTTTAAATGCAAATCTATGTAGTCTCTGTTGTAAATACTTAACCTGCGTCATTTTTGAAATTTTACATCATCATAATCATACTGATGAAGGATATCTGCTATCCGAAATATTTATAGATACTTAATTTATTGTTTCCTTTTTTTAATATTGGTGTTGTTATGTACACTTTTTTTCAGGCGTATATATATATATATATACAAGTCTAAATTGAAAACAACGTTCTATCCTATGATTGCGTTGGATAAAAACCGCAATTTTTATACGTGTGCATGCAAAACAAATTTCTTGGTAGAGGGGTCTAAATACAGCACAAACAACATTTTCCAAAAAATCAAATGAGTGAAAAAGTATACTTTAACAAAACGCATTTGACTAGCAGGTCGAACAACTGATGTCCTTAAACCCTGCTGACTGCCATTGGCGATTGCCAAATAAACGGGTCACCGATGTAATAAATGGATCTCAATTATAAATTTAGTACTAAACAGAAAACAATAAACTTGCGGAAAAGATGGTATACCGCAAACAAAAGGTGCAAAGGTTTTTGTACACCATATCCGGATTTCGACAATTAATGTCTCTTCAGTGATGTTAGGAATCGAAAAGGTATTTGGAAGGCCATATAATTTACCTCAATTTAGGATAGACTCTTGAATTTTGAAAGAGTCAAAATAGGATGAACGGATCATATAAACCCGAAGGCAAATATAATACAAGCCAAAACGAAAAAATATAAACAAGTCTAAATTGAAAACAACGTTCTATCCTATGATTGCGTTGGATAAAAACCGCAATTTTTATACGTGTGCATGCAAAACAAATTTCTTGGTAGAGGGGTCTAAATACAGCACAAACAACATTTTCCAAAAAATCAAATGAGTGAAAAAGTATATTTTAACAAAACGCATTTGACTAGCAGGTCGAACAACTGATGTCCTTAAACCCTAATGACTGCCATTATACATGTATATATCAGGAATTGCTTGTATGGAAAATACAGTTTTTAATTCGAAAATGAAAAAGGAACACGTACGTGTATCATAGATCACTACAGAAAATAATCTTGGAACATTTTACTCTCGTACCCAAAATGCACTTGATAAAATAGTGTGGAAATGTGTGTAGTCTTTTCCAAGCGTGTTCATCTTTAAGTGATCGCTCTTACTTAAGATACCTTTATTAGTCTGTGAAAGAATTCGACCTAGCATATCTAAAGTTTTCTCGAATGTTTGAACACAGAAAGAAGGAATATAAAAAAGCTTTTCATCAAAATACTATTTATTTTTTTTCCTTCAAACTTTGTTTCATGTTAGTTCTATATATTTTAATCTATGTAACAAGTAAAGTTGTGAAGCCAATAGTATTTTTCTGATCTCGTAGAATATAGATAGTTGATTGCCGTGATTTCAGTAATAATCATTTCCGATTGCCGCCACATCCCACAGTGTTGACTATGGGTAAAGACATATTATCATTTCTTCCGTCCGGCATTTAAACCCAAGCTAAAGGGTTACCTCCATTCGGATGTGAGGGATGTATTAATGTTTGATATCAACGTACACAAATTTCTCCATTATTAAGAATTCAACTTGTAATACTGATCGCTAGACTTTCAAAATTTTATTTGTATAAGCCTTGTATGACCCATCACTACGATTTCATAATCAAATAAGAAAATCAAGTAGTCTCAAAAAAATTACGGCGAAGGGGAAATAACTCCAAAGTATAAGTAGGATGCAGATTTGTGTACAGGAAGTATAGATTGGCATATATTTTGGTTGAACAATTTGGAAAAACATATGGTAAAACTTGATTTTTGTTCTAAAAAAAATGAAAATCTCCTAATTTAATATTGCTGACATGTCAGTTCTCTAGTTAAAACCTCTTACCTTATACAAACAACGACCACAATTATAAGTGCTTGCACACTAAGGAATGCGATGGCTATGGCAACGTAAAATACTGAAAATACAATATGATATTTATTGACTTGTTTTGTTGATGTGATATCAAAATAAAATACTTACAACTAACAAATAATAAAAAGGGGGACTGTTTAATCACAAATAAACATTTCGTACATTATAATATCAGTTACAACAGGCTTCATTCATTTTTGTTCATGGTTCATAGCAAATAAACTAATAATCTAACATGTTAAGCTAAAATTGAGAATGGAAATGGGGAATGTGTCAAAGAGACAACAACCCGACCATAGTACAGACAACAGCAGAAGGTCACCAACAGGTCTTCAATGCAGCGATAAATTCCCGCACCCGGAGGCGTCCTTCAGCTGGCCCCTAAACAAATATAAGCATGTTTGTGTGCGCGCACTTGGAAAGTTTTTGTCAAGACATTTAAGTTGTTTATTTTTTCCTATTTCTAAATATGCTTTGAGAGCTTATGCCAATGAGGCTTTCTTTGTATTCTGTTTGCTATTCTCAATTTTATTGGCTATGGACAAGTTTTTTGACTATTTTATTAACCTAGTTTTGTAATGAAAGATGACAGCTAATGCAACGTTGCGCCTTAGCACACCAATAAATAAACACAAGAGTTATAGTTTTGGTTGACAAAAATCATTTGTCAAGCAAATACAATCAAATACAAATAACAAATTCAATATGCACGAGGATAAGCTTTTTATAAACGCAATACAATGATAGAAAATATAAGGAAAATGTTAACTTTTGTTTACTAATTACAAAACCTAGAAGGTAACTGGGTGGTAACAGTATAGCTACCTCGAATACGTTTTCTTAGATTATTTAAGCTAACAGTAGACTGTATTATTGCTCGAGATACTATTAGTTATATAGTGTGCTACTGACCTAATACGAAGTATATGGAATTTACTGACCCCATATATATCGTATTAGGTCACTAGCACACTGTAACGGACTATCTTAACATGTGGTATTTAGACTAGTGGCCTATACCGTTAGTATGAAGAACCTGCCTCCGTTGGTTTATACAAAAACAAATGCCACCAATAACAACTTGTTAGCTTTAAATGTGTTTTATGAATTTATTTCAATCGTTCATCATCAATTTCTTCGTCTGTTGAAACCTTTCAGATTTTTCCTCAACACCGTGTTGTCTTTATAAAGGGACGTAACACCACTACTAACCGTGTATTGAAATAAGCCCCGCCTAATAACCCCATATACACGGTCTCCACGCAGTTGCTTTTAACCAATCATATTCCTAGAAATTTATAGGAGGTAAGATAAAGTTAACTTCCAATCTGGTTTGGGACGATGATCAATAATACTTATTGAAAATATACAGGTCTTTTACATATTAATGAACCCTAACATTTTGTGTTTCCAATGTTTGTAGATAAAAAATAATCTACATAACACCGTCAACACTTGTTGGTGTTAAACGTTATCGGCCCCTTTCACCAGGTCGTCCTAAATTTCATACCTTAATGATAATTTGATATATTGGGAACGTTTTAATGTCCTGAAATGCAAGAAATACTTGCCACTGAACGTTAAGATCAATTATCAATCTCTCAATACCAACCAAATAACCTTAATCAGTGAACATAAACGAACTATGAATTATTGCTATCAGTATATTGATTTTCGATTTTGACAAACTATATGTACTTACTCATCCTCTCTGCTGTGTTAAATTGCTCTGATGATTTTCTTTCAATCGTTTCTACAGCTGTTTCATTATCCGCTCGCATAGCTGCATTAAAATAATATCGTTAGTATTAAGTAAAATTTCAAAGCAAACTGGTCTTTATGTGTATACATGTTGTGTTGTCATTCGTGGACAATTATTTTTCACGCGTTTTTTGTGGTATATTGGATGTGACTCGCACTTTTATAATACCAACAAGACCTTACCCTGTCGGTGCACCAGGTCTCGCTCCTTTTCGAGTTTATGCAATTCCCTCAGTTATGTTCATACTACTTATAACTTTCAATCTGCTAGTTAAAGCTTTCGTACTTTTATCGTCCATTATTCTAGTGTAAATTTCCCTCATTTACTCTATATTCGGCAGAAATATGAATGACTACTCCATTCAAAATGCTTACATTCACTTTATTTGTACTTTGGTGGATAGTTGTCTCATAGGCAATCATACCACATCCTCTTATTTTTATATCGATGTTTAATAAAAAAAAAACATGATTTTACTGTGACTCGAATGTTTTATTTCCAATGCAGTCGTTTGTTTATATGTGTTCTCATAAATGATTGCAGATGTTTTTTTTTTTTTAATTTTCTTACTTACTATTTGGTGCCTCCCAAGGTAAATATAATTACAATCAAAATACGAAATGAAAATGTAATGTCTTAACTCACTTGAATTGATGAAGCTAATCTTTCTTGTAATAATGATAGGAGGTATATCAGGTTGCATCACTTGTGCATGCTGAGAATCCTGTTCCAATCTCGTACCGTCAGGACATGAATACATTGCTTTATATTCTACATTGATGTTCCGTGCCAAAGGTATTACTGAAAGATATAATTATAATGATTTGTCAGTTAAAAAATGTTCGCAAAAAGTAAAATAACAAAAATACCGAACTCCAAGGAAAATTCAAAACAGAAAGTCTTTTATCAAATGGCAAAATCAAAAGCCCAAACACATGATCAAACGAATGGAAAACAACTGTCATATTCCTGACTTGTTACAGGCAAAATTATTCTTATTTGCTAAATCTATAAAAAAAAAAATACACATTTCTCTTTTCATTCATATAAACATATAACTCGACAAATTAGTTTTCGTGTGAACTCATTTCTGTATAATCAATATTCTACTTTTTCAACTATTAGAATATGGCAAAGTGCTCTCGACCAATGAAACTGTAGGATTTGATGCTTCTTAAGTGTGAAGAATGAATGTAAATCATGTTCTTAGTAAGGAATTATCCTATTGTTTATGTCTATTTACAGTTCAAAACAAAGAGTTTCTATATATGAGTTACTACTGCCCCGAAGCACATTTATCAGCTTGAAAGGATTTGTACGAAAGCCTATTAGGGTCACAAAAAAAAATTATTTATCTCGTAATTACGAGAAAATTATCTCGTAATTACGAGAAAACTATCTAGTAATTACGAGAAAAAATGACATATATATATATATATAGATATGCAGATCATGTTTACCCTTCCGGGGCACCTGATAAAACGCCCGTTTTTATTAGCTCAACTGACCCAAAGGGTCAAGTGATCTTTTCCCATCACATGGCGTCCGTCGTCCGTCGTCGTCCGTTATCTTTTACAAAAATCTTCTCCTCTGCAACCACTTGGCCAAATTGAACCAAACTTGGCCTTAATCATCCTTAGGGTTTCTAGTTTAAAAAAATGTATCCAAAGACCCCGCCCACCAACCAAGATAGCCACCATGGCTAAAAATCGAACATGGGGGGGGGGGAGGGGGGTAAAATGTAGTTTATGGTTTATATCTCTGAAACTAAAGCATTTAGAGCAAATATGACAGGGTAAAAATTTTCAGACGAATCAGACTTCCCGTTGTTGGGATGCTGCCCCTGAATTGGTAATTTTAATGATTGTTTTTTAGTTTTTGGTTATTATCTTGAATATTATAATAGAAAGATATAAACTGTAGGAGCAAAAATGTTGAGCGATAAAGTAAGATCTACAAATAAGTCAAATGACCAAAATTGTCAATTGACCACTTAAGGAGTTATTGCCCTTTAAAGTCATTTCTGCAATTAAGTTAATTTTTTTAATCTTTTACAAAAATCTGTCTCCTCTTACTCTACTTGGCCAAATGAATTTTTATCTCGTAATTACAAGGTAGTTTTCTCGTAATTACGCGATATTTATCTCGTTATTACGCGATAGTTATCTCGTAATTACGCGATAATTGTCTCGTAATTACGCGATAGTTATCTCGTAATTACGAGATACTTATCTCGTAATTACGAGATAAAAAACTTCTTATCTCGTAATTACGCGATAGTTATCTCGTAATTACGCGATAGTTATCTCGTAAATACGAGATACTTATCTCGTAATTACGAGATAAAAAACTTCTTATCTCGTAATTACGCGATAGTTTTCTCGTAATTACGCGATAATTATCTCGTAATTACGAGATAAAACTATGATTATCTCGTAATTACGAGATAAAACAATTATTATCTCGTAATTACGCGATAATTAATTATCGTGTAATTACGAGATAAAAATATTTTTTTTGTGACCCTAATAGGCTTTCGTAGATTTGTGATTGAAACTGACTAATAAAACTTTAATTTTGAAACAAACAAAAAACAATTCAATAAAAAATTAGAATATTTTAAAATAATTTCAAATTACTAAAAATTAATCTCTACCAAAGCAATGCAAAAAAAATTTGAAATTAAATATAAGCTAAATATTTAGCTAATATGCTTGACAAAACTAAGATTTCTGGATCCGCGTTTGGTATAAAAAGTAATTTCCAATATTCTGATAAAAAAAAGGAATTTCATTTAACTTTTGAATATATTTAAAACTTTTAAAGGCATTTCATTCGAATATTTCCCTGACATAATGAAGTAGCATTTGATGTAAAGAGCTGGACTGAAATATTGGCTGTGAAATAAAATTTAGCTTAAACTCAAATTTTGAATTGATAGATTTGAACTGTAAATAAACAAAAAGATAATACCTCACTAAAACATTACATGAATAACATTCATACTCACAATCACGAAACTAATACAATTCCCACCATTTCATTGTACTGTTGTGTCATCTAGTGTCTAAAACACAATGCATTATATTTTCCAAAATCATAAGAAAGTCCTAACATTACTAAAATTTATTCATGAATGAAATACATAAAAAAGAAGTCTTGCATTTCTCATAAACATTGCACTAACAATGAAACTAATTCTTGAATACAACCAATCAAGAGATCATTTGAGCCTTGCGCACTTTACAATATTCTAAGTTTGTAAAAGAATGATAATCCCTTTCATCATGACAAGTACTCGCTAACGCTCGTACTTAAGTGATAGTTATCCCATGGGGACGCGGTGTGTCAGTGTAAGATCACCCGACGGCCGGAGTGTGATTTTACACTGACACACCAAGTCCGAGTGGGATAACTATTTTACATCCCAGCTCTTCTAGACTATATGAAACAAGAGGCTGTCAGAGTGACAGCAAACCGGATTTTCCTGCAGAGGTCGAACCCTGAACAATTTACAAAAAAAAAGAAGAAAAAAATCCAAAATTGTATTCGTCATTCCCATGGTCGCCTGACATTTGGCAAAGCCCAGTACAAATTGGTTTGTGATATGCATAAGTGACGCTTATGGATTGACCCTGTATGTCATTCAAATCTTCTTGAAATGACGAACAAGAATATATATAGTTTAGCGGTTGGGATCTCGACCGTTTTCAAGTTCTCAAAAAGGGGGGGGGGGGGGGGGTGATCCCCAGGGGACTCGCCTTTTATTTCATATGATTTGTTTTTTTTTGTCCCATACAAGAATATATATGGTTTAGGGGTCGGGATCTCGACCGTTTACAAGTTCTTAAACAGGAGGGGGTGGCGGTGACCCCAGGGGACTTCCCCTAAATTTCATTTGATTTGTCCCATACAGGAATATATATGGTTTAGGGGTGGGGAGCTCGACCGTTTACAAGTTTTCAAAAAGAAGGGGGTGGGGGTTACCCCTGTGGACTTCCCCTATATTTCATTTGATTTGTTTTATTGTCCCATACAAGAATATCTATGGTTTCGGGGTAGGGATTTTGACCGTTTACAAGTTTTCTCAAGAAAGGGGATGGGGGTTACCCCCGTTGACTTCCCCTATATTTCATTTGATTTGTTTTATTGTCCCATACAAGAATATATATGGTTTAGGGGATCTCGACCGTTTACAAGTTCTCAAACAGGAGGGGGTGGGGGTGGCCCCAGGAGACTCGCCTTTTATTTCATTTGATTTGTTTTATTGTCCCATACAAGAATAAATATGGTTTCTGGGTGGGGATCTTGACCGTTTACAAGTTTCAAAAAGAAGGGGGTGGGGGTGAACCCGGGGACTCCCCCAATATTTCATTTGATTTGTTTTATTGTCCCATACAAGAATATATATGGTTTAGGGGTGGGGATCTCGACCGTTTATAAGATAAAAACACATTCTCAAAAAGGGATTATCATTCTCTTACATATACATAAAAGACGGTGTTGTCGGTTGTCGTCACGTCAAAAGTTAATGTATTATATATTTTTAAACTCGAAAAGCCCCCAGGGATGACAAATATTTACATGTAGAGATAATATAATCACATTAACTAATTCTTGTGACTGAGAGATAATGATACTATATACTATTCACATATTTCGATTCTGACACAAACCTCACTCCATCGCATGGGCCAGGCGGGCCAGAATATGGAGTGTGGAAATAAGTTATTTTTTTATAAATATATGTTTATTTTTTGTAAGATCAGTTGTACGGAAAGAAGCCTGGTATATACTGTGGAAATTCAACTTATATTATTTCCATACTTCTTAACTGAGTAATTCATAGGGCACTATTTATTGGCCTTTCATTCTTCATATCTGACATACATATGTGGCGAAAAGTATTATTTGTTTTTTTAAGGTTCATCATAACTTTTTGGCTAATATGGCCGTATTTACACCACAAATTTTACTCTGAGTACAGACATACCCTTGCACCTGGAAAAGTTTTTAAGGCATGGTAGGAACTAGATAATTAAATTCTAAATGCATTTTATGTTTTAGAAAATTATAAACTTTTCTGGATTTTGCTATTCATTTTTTTTTTTCATTCCTACAGAAGGTGCCAAAATAAACTAAGCCCTATTTCTCGTATCAAACATAAGCTAAAAGCACTCGCCAAGGAATTTGCTTTTGTTCCGGCTGATAAGGCTGCTCATAATATCATTATTTTTGACGTAAATTTTACATTGAGGTTCTGCAAAAGGAAATCACGAATTCACCAACATTCCAACTGACTCCTTTTTCGGAAAATGACATCTGTAACAAACATAAACTTTGAACTACCTCTTTACAAGCAGAACCAAATACAATGAAAGTTCCAACTATGTACTGGCTTCCGAAGCTGCACAAACCTCCTTACAAATATAGATTTATTTCGTCTTCAAGCCATTGTTCCACTACTAAACTATCTATTCTACTTACTAGTACACTTGGTACAATCAAAAACCTGGTAATAAATTGTTCAAATAAGACCTTTGAAAATAGTGACTATTTTCAAAGGTCTTATTTTAAAGTGGAATTAATTACTTTTTGAGTGTCAAAAATTCGTTGGAAGTACTTGATAAATTGCATGCTTATAGTGGTGATTTCGAATCTGTTCAAAGTTTTGATTTTTCTACCCTACATACAACTTTGCCTCATAATCTTGTTAAGAAAAATTCACACACCTCAAATAAGTCAGAATGTGATTATATATGTTCAAACTCTTTTAGGTCATTTTTTAGTAACAACAAACATAAGAACTATGTCAATTGGACCTGCTTTGATACTATAACTGCCCTTGAATTTTTACTAGATAACATTTTTGTTCGCTATGGAGATTCCGTATATCGTCAAGTTATCGGAATTCCCATGGGGACTAACTGTGCACCACTTATTGCGGACCTGTTTCTGTATTGTTATTAGTTACAATTTATGACTAAAATCAGCATAGACCCATTGAAACAACATCTGATTCAAAAATTTAATAACACTTTTAGATATTTGGATGATATATTGGCTCTCAATAATGACGACTTCAGTATGTACACTAAAGAGATTTATCCTGCCGAACTGACTTTAAATAAAGCTAATACTAACAATGAACACTGCCCTTTGCTGGATCTTGATATCTATATCTTTAACGGGAAGCTTAAAACCAAAATTTATTATGATAAAAGGGATGATTTTTCATTTCCTATTGTTAAGTATCCATTTTTAGATGGTGACGTTCCCTTGTCTATGTATTACTGAAAAATTATTACACCAGGGTTTTCGATATCACAAACTAGGCAAAACATTTACTAAATTTTATCATCGGTACAAGGACATCATTCGTAAATATAAATCAACATGCAGACATCTTATATGTTCAGGTATTTCACATCCAATCTTTTATGGTAATATTCTTTACAAAGCACAAAAATGTCGGCATTCACCTCAAAAGATAACCAACCTTAAAACAGACTTATTCAGAAGGGATATAGTTACGATACTGTTTTCAAGTCATTAAGAATGGCATATTTTGGTACTAATATTGATTCACTGATAGGGTCTTTGCATCAGAAATTAACACATTTATTCTAAAACCAGTTGTTGGCATGATACGGGTTATGTCCTCATATATTTCATGATGGTATGATACTAAACCCCTAACGGGAGGGATTGTGCTTGATTTTCATATGATGAAGACATACTCTTTCAATCCGTTTAATTGATGTCTGGAGCTGGCATGTCAGTAACTGCTAGTAGTCCTTTGTTTATTTATGTATCATTGTCATTTTCCTTAGTTTCTTTTGTTACCTATTCTGACATCGGACTCGGACTTCTTTTAAACTGAGTTTTACTGTGCGTATTACTGTGTGATTCTTTATTCTACATTGTCTATAGGTATAGGGGGAGGGTTGAAATCTCACAAAACATGTTTAACCCCGCCGCATTTTTGCGCCTGTCCCAAGTCAAGAGCCTCTGGCCTTTGTTATTCTTGTGTGTTTTTTAATTTTAGTTCATTTATATGTTTTGGAGTTTAGTATGACGTCCATTTTACTGAACTAGTACACATTTTTATTTAGGAGCCAGCTGAGGCCCACCTACGGATGCGGGATTTTCTCGCTCCGTTGAAGACCCATTGGTGGCCTTCGGCTGTTATAAGCTCTTTGGTCGTGTTGTTGTCTCTTTGACATATTCCCCATTTCCATTCTCAATTTTATTTTTTAAGTTGGGAAAGAGGTTTGAGAAGCTCCCCTCATATAATAAATGTTGTTCTGCAAACAATAGGTGATTTAAACTGTGTAACTGAGTGGACCGTATCAAATGAAACTCATGTTTGTTTAGTTTGCTCTCTTCTGCAGACTGGGAAAAAAATACACATCAAAATCCAGGTAAGTTTTTAATTTTCTGAAACATAGACTACATATAACATTTATATATCTAGGTCCTGTCATGCCTTAACACTTTCCCAGATGCATCAGTTTGTCTGTACTCATAGTAGAATTTGTGGTGTAAACACGGTCATATTTTTCAATTCCATTTGATGAACCTTAAAGTGATTTAATCCTACCTTCATATGATATCCAGAATCGCAAGCCAGAAATACCATTGGTTACGAGATCGATGTCTACATCACCACATGCCTGGTAAACATTGGTGTGACCTTTCATTTCATAAACAAGTCCTGTTGGAATATCATTGTTAGGACAGCTACGGGTTGTTCGGATTTGTAATCCACTGTCTATGTCCACACTGGGTCTCTCCAAATCATGAAGTCTGAGGATAGCGAAATGTTTGTCTGGTACAACAACCATCCAGGAACAAGACATAGTTACTATACTTGGGTATCTAGGACTGAAGATGAATGCTTTACTCTGAGTCAATACTTTGATGCCAGTGGTGCAGGTTTTTGGTGGTTCGGAATTTGGCACTGTCAATACATTTTATTAAAATACTTCAAGTTAGAGACAAACAAAAATGGTCTGTATCAAATACAAATACAGACATTAAAACAGCTACTTTTATGCTACGTTATGTGAAAGTCATTCAAATCAAATTCAAGCATATTTTCCCATATATGTTATTCAAAAAGACAAACTCCTCTTCGGCGAAATTAAGTATAAATCAATCCAATTATATGAAATAAAGGGTGTAAAGCTAAGTCTACAATAAGTAGATGGATATTTTTTACACTTGCCATATTTTGTAGATTTGTCATAAAGCATACTCTCGTTGATGTCATCACTATATCTATAATGTATATAATTATTATGACACTTACGATAGTTACACGTGTAGGTAACACGTAAATCTTGAATCCTTGGATCCTGACATATATGATGCACGTCACATTTAGTAGTTTTGCCAGTACAAATTCGTCTCAGATTTTTCAGCGCCCATTCATCCTCTGTTGTGTCTATCTGTGTAACATTTTCTATCAATATTCGTCCCGTGTTACACTGAATATAATCACTGTCTCTATAACGCCTTCTACATATCTTCACACCACACAATGTACAACTCGCTGAAAGAAAACAAAGCATCTTTAAACCTTTTAAGATAAATCAATACGATACCATATAAATTGCTCAGTAAAATATGAATGGCCATTCATTTCAAAATAACGATACTTCCTCCATGATAGTTTTTCCATCGTGATGGTTTTAACAAGTATCTCGATGTCTCAAAGCATCACGATACAATTAAACTGACAATAGCATCGCGATGGAAGTCAAAAGCATCGTGATAGAAGTTAAAATCATCACGATGGAAGTCAAAAGCATCGTGATGGAAGTTAAAAGCATCGCGATTAAAGTCAAAAGCATCATGATGGAAGTTAAAAAAGTATTATGATACAAGTCAAAATTGCAAGTGCGCAATGTCTTTTTGCAGCTATTTACGAGCCGATTGTGTAAAAACGAGATTTGGAACAAGATGGTCGTCTCAGCTTTTAATGTTCCAACATGATGCTTTTGAATTCCATTATAATGCTTTTTACTTCCATCGTGATGCTTTTGACTTCCATCACGATGCTTTTAACTTCCATTACGATGCTTTTGACTTCCATCACGATACTTTTGAATTCCATCATGATGCTTTTGACCTCCATCATGATGCTTTTAACTTCCATCGTGATGCTTTTGGCTTCCAACGCGATTCTAATGTCATTTGAATTGCATCGTGATGCTTTGAGCAAGTATCGTGATGCTTTGAGCAAGTATCATGATGCTTTTGACAAGTATCATGATTCTTTTGACAAGTATCATGGTAGTTGTTAAAAGCATCGGGATACTTGTTAAAACCATTACGATAGAAAAAACAGGTGCGGATCCAGGATTCTGATAATGATGGAAGTATCGTTATTTTGACATGAACAGCCACTCATAGTAAAAAGGCATGAAGTAAAAAGGCATACAACTGGAAAAAAAAATTACAATGTATTACATCAAATTGACTTCATTTTGACAGTATTCTCTATATAGTGAGGGTCATACGTTAAAGAAAAACCTTGTAGAAGCTTTGAGATTATAAAAGCGAACATTAAATAGAAGATAAATGTTAAAGCGCATTTATTTCATTATTTACACCCCGTATTCAGAATGTATTTTCAATATACTTGATTAGATATGTCAACTGTAAAACTATCTAACCTGTCACCAACATTATACATTTATTTCCCGTACCTGAGGGAGATAGGAAGATTTGTTCACACAAGAAAATTAATATTTCCCGAGGGCTATGCTATATTTTATATTTACTCTGCGTGTGTTAGGGTGGGGGTTGTTAATCCTTCATTTCTAATTTCTTGTTTAAATTGTTCAATGCAGTAATGTTATCAACTTGTCTTACTTTGTATATGTAAATAAAAGATGCTTTACATATGCTTAATACACAAAAACAATATAAACACATTTGTCGTCTTAGAGAAAAAGATATGCAATGTACTTGATGTATTGAGTTAGTTCTCTTTGGTTATTCATTGTATTAATACATAATGATTGTTCGTAGTTATTTGTTAAAGCATTATTTAGATTGTGACTATTTTCAGATAACTTCATTCATTCCAGTGTTTTAGAAAGTGAATGAAAGGGAAACTTCTGTGTCTGCATATCACAGATAATCAGAAAGTACTTGTCTATGATCTTGTGAGAGAATACACATCAAAGTCAGATTATAGATACTTACCATTAGTTATGCTCTATCGTGCATACAGTTACCAGAGATAAGAGAAAGATCCAGATGTCCACACAAACAAGCATAAATAATTAGACATCACTATGCTGACAAGTTCTTATTTCCAAAACAAATAATTGAGACATTTAGTTGCTCGTAATTACCATGTATACATTGTACCCCCTCCCCTTTTTAATCTTGTTTGGCTTGAAGACATATCTACTAAAACATTTTCTGAACCTTTATAGATTTCCAAATAGTGATAGTACGTTACAAAGTTAAGGTTCACTTCCAATCCCTTTTTGAAACCTCCATCGAATCTAATTAGGTCAAGTGATTTTGTCCCGAAATGAATAACGTGTGTTCGGACACGGTTTCTACAACGCGTCAAGCAGCATCCCCCTTTGTTTTTTTAGAAACTACAACAATTAATGTATTCGTACATTCAGTGAATATTTAAAGTGTAGATAGTCTTCAACCTGTACCTTTTTGTTGAATTAGCAACGTTGTTTTATTTTCGATTGAGTAATATTATCAAGCTAACAGATTCAGGACAAGCCTTTCAAAACTCCTAATAAACCTCTAGATAAAGGTTATGATCATCATATTGTTCCTAAATCATTGCGTATATTTTACCAGCATATCATTAAAGTACTTTGAGCTTTTCAGTAGCTGCGAGCATTCTCTGAAACGATATTTAGTACAGCTGTACTGGTACTTGTGGTTTTGTTGCTTTATGATACTGGCATGAGTTGTATTTTAGGGTTAATTCATATTTTCTGTAAATGAATAAATGGGAAGGCGGGGTATACCGAATAATATTATAACATATTGAATAGTTGTTTACCCGGGAAACAAACAGGAATGTGAATTTTAATGGCAAAATAACAACAAATTAATTAGCTTTTAGATAACTACGTATAAAACTTATTCTAGAAGATGTTTCTGTAAAACCAATTAAATGTTATTTTCAGATGTTTATACTTTGATTTCACTCCTTATCTGCCAAATACTTGATAAGAAGGAATCGTGAGATAAAAAATAAGTAAGAGAGAAGTTTTGTATACTTGCTATCTCAGATATTTATATTGAACGATCTCTTGAAAATGCAGATTTTTTCAGGCATCAGAGCAGTATTTCGCGTCCGAATTTTTCCCAAAGTATTATAGAAAATCAGGGAGAATGACAAATAAGGCAATGCATACTACTGCAAGGACAAAAAGACATATTCTTTGACTTGAGGCGATGTAGTCATACACAGAAATATATGTTCAATACTGTGGACTTCAGAACAAGGCTGCCACAACATAAGGAGAAATTTTGTTTTTGTTTTACATTTATCATTTACATCAGTTGTTGTCATTTGTTGCTGTGTATCATATTTGGTTTTCGTTTGTTTTTTTTTTTTTTTACATAAATCAGGCCTTTAGTTTTCTCGTTTGAATTGTTTTACTTTCGTCATTGTCGGGCCTTTTATAGCTTGATATGCGGTATGGGTTTTGTTCATTGTTGAGGGCTGTACTGTGACCTATAGTTATTAACTTCTACTTTGTTAGATCTCTGGTGGAAAGTTGTCTCATTGGCAATCATACTACATCTTCTTATTTTTGTAGGTACAATATTAAACACAATAGGACTAAACATTGCAATAAATATGTGGCATCTTATTAAAGTTGTTTGACTGTTCTGTAATACAAACGGCGTGTTCAAGTGATTAATAATAATATTATCTTAATATCGTAATCAATAGAGATAAAGAAACAGGAAGCTCTTTGGTGGGGTTTGATGAACTTTGTTTTTCTGCTATTAATGGTTTTTCTTTTCTCTTCTTTCGTTTTGTTTTATGTTTTTGGTAAAGTATGGAAAATGTTTTTCGTAAAACGTGTATATACAATTGTAATAAGTTTTTCATTAGTAATGTGTTCACTTTGTGAAGCGTTATACGGAATTGTATCAGGTCTTATACAGTTCGAACCAAATTAACTGGATATTCCCCTATACCATTTAAATAGAAGGAGACGTGATATGATTGCCACCAGAGCCCAAAGGCAAAGATGTAAACAGCTTTTATAGGTTGCCGTATCGGCGTATGACCTTCAACGATGAGCCCACACCGTATCGTTAGCCATACATAAAAGCCAGCGGCATGACAAAAATTGGAACAAAATCAACGGTCTGATTAATGCTAAAACAATAAACGAACAACAAATATAGCAGACAGAGACCAACCACTGAATTACAATCTTCTGGCTTGGGACAGACACATCAGATATGTGACCGAGTTTTACAAGTTACTGAAAGCTAGTTCAAGTCAATTTCAACTAATAAATAAACAATGTTTTCTCAGACTAAAATATTAATCAATACACATCCAACGGATTTAGTGTAAAAAGTCATTAACAATCTGAGAAAGCATGACCTTGTGCAATGCCAAACTATAAGTATTGACAGAATGTGAGACAATATTAATACATACTCAGTTTTAAATTATGAAAAACAAAATCAATGTTAGTACCGAAATAGACAATATTTAAAAAAAATTAGATGTGGTGCTTCGTTTAAAAGAGGTTTCTACAGGTACAGGCAAAGTTCCAAATCTTATCTGTGTTATCTATGAAAGAATTTAGTAAAAGTGTTTTTAAAGTAAATCGTGGTAACAAAATCTATGACCTAATAATTTACTAGTTATACTTTATTGATTAAGTTCATTAAAATCTTAAACGTCACAAAAGTTGCCAATTGTTTGCTAAGATGCATGAAGTTAGAAAAAATACAGATAAATGTGTTCTTCTTGTAACGTCACAAAAACAACTAGAATTTCATATTACTTTTTACTACTTGTAATAATGGAATTTATAGTAACAAGTTTGCCATTGACTGTCTGTTTTGACAGTTTTTAAAGGGTTATCAAAGAAAAACCCTTTCCTCTAAGTCTTATTCTGGTTGAACTTGGAGCTTTCATACTGTACAAACAGAGAAATGCACATAAAAAAAATTAATATTTACGAAATACTGTACAAATCGTTTAACAGACGTTGTCTTTTTTACATTTTCGTTAAACACCTTGATGAAGAAAACAAAAATACATTAAAACGAAACAAATATTTATTCCTTACATTTTAATGAGTAAATAACAGCATGGCATCATGGAAGTTTTTCAAACGCAATATTTCACATTAATCCATGCACGCGTTTTATACAACAACATTTTGAACATCAGCTGTGTTAAAGCTTACATAACAAAGTCAGAGAAGAAGAGGATGGTTTTGTAACAATCCTAATTTATGTGCCTTTGTAATATTCGGAGACTTCATTATAGGGTTGTGGTGCCCTGTTTGTTTTTAATTTATG